CGGTATCTCTCCTCTACCTTGGTAGGTCTTGGTGTGTCCGGCAATCAGGTATTTGAGTTCAAAGCTGTAGGATCGCATCTTCTGCTGCGTCTCGCTGCGAACAGCTGCCATGTAGTTGTCCTCCATCTTACCCGTGCAGCAGCTGGGACCAGAGTGGACGCACACTCGAAGAGGCTCACCTACAAGACAGAAACAAATATAAGCTGGACAGTTGATAGGGAAACCAAACTCATTGTGTAATAGTCAAGTTTTACAGATTTGTATTCATATGAGGCTCCTTCTTTGTCACAAAGTTCAGGAATTTTGAAGCGTTCGTGGCCTCGAAACTATTGAGCATTTTGGGAGGTGACAGGATGACACAAGAAACGGGAAACTCTTCAGGAGTGCATGTGTGTGAAAGTGTACACATGCACGGCCTGATTGTCTGTCTGCAAACTGCGGCTCTGGAGCCACATGTGGCTCTTTGGTCCCTCTGCAGCGGCTCTTTCAAGTTTTGACCAAAACTGACATATCCCCACTAGAAAAGCTTGGGAATTTCAGTATACCCACTTAAAAGTGTCCAAAGACATGTGACATATCATTGGGCATGTGTCATTAACACATTTGGAACATTTTTATAGACAATGAATTTGTTCAACCTTTTTTTTTTTTGTACTATAATGCTGGAACTTCTGTACTTACTACTTAATACTTGAACATGTTTAGCTGTGATACTGTTTTATACGTTCTATAACATGTTTTTCATACATAGGCCATTGTTGTACAAAGTCTGTTGTTCATTTATTCAAATATAAGCATCAGATAAATTTTGAAATGTTCAATATGCTTAAAAATGAAAATAAATTGATGTTTACGTTGTACTAACCGGTGTACTTTGGTTTCTAAGCACAGTATACAAACTACAAAAATGTAGACTACACCACTGCATAAAACTGAACTTTATTGGTTGTTATAAAAACAACAAAAAAAGTGCTAGTTTTAGATGTTTTCCTGTCGTTTCTTTTGCAAATACTCACTTTAACATTTTGCTTTACTTATTTTTTTCCACCACAAAAAGAAATATAGGTCTGCTAGTTTTTTTTTTATTTAAAAACTATTTTACCCCCTCTTTACACGTCTTTTCATTCATCTTAAATTGTAAAAATGTCAATAAATGTTAAAAATCATTAGATATTTTTAGCTTTATAATGTTGCTATACTGGCCACAAAAGTCTCCTCCAAAAAATCTAAAGTGGCCCATGGGCCACCAGTTGATAACCACAGGTTGTTGCAGCTCTGGACACATTTAGTTTATTGAATGGAGGTGTAAAAATGTATCTTTTGATCATAAAGGTTGCAGAGCCCTGGTCTAAGCCACGCTGTGTATATTATTATTTACTGACAATATATTGCATTATTGAGATGGTTACTATTTATTGATCATGCTGGACAAGATGTTCAAAAGCTTTTATTACACCAACAAGTTTGAAGACTCACAGCAAAGGTCCTATTAAGAAAAAAAAAAGCATTTACTTAGATCAATATGGGGAAGATGTGTCAACACAGCTGTTACTGTTAGCCAACACTGAGAGCATTCCCTATAGTTTTAATAAAAAGAGTCATAAATCACTATTTTAATATATACTCTGTAGATCTACTGCACTCAGCCTGCGAGAAAAGCACTGTCAAATAAAACTGCTTGGTCAAGCTGAAGCAGTATAATTTTATCAAAATGCAAAGGTAAAATTAGGAAGTTATAACTATTTAAATAGCAAATAAACAATGTGCGGATAAAAGTGTGTATTAAGTTGCCATATTCATTCATTCAACCTTTATTTATACAGGTCAGTCCCATTGACTGGGACTCATTTACAAGAGAGACCTGATGCAAATGCACTTGTCCTGTTTATATCTGTTTTATTCCAACTGTCACAGCAGCACAATTCTTTGAATATGAAAAATGTATAATCCTTTTAGACAAGAAAATGCAGGATGCCTTGACATCCTGCATTTTTAGGAATAGTTTGAGTCAGTGCTGCATTATCCATCTTTAAATGCAGCTTTTGAAGGATGTGAGCACAGATTAAGTCTGGAAACATTAACTTTAAATGAACTGAGTTGGGAAAACTCAAGCAGATGTGCTGCTTTTGGTCTTGACTCAAACGTTTGCGATTACTAATATGCAAAAACTGGTAGAAATAACTCATCGGTAAATGGGATTTAGAGCGTTTGTTGTTGATGCAACTTTGCAGAGGAGAAAAAAAAAGATCTAAGAATATATTATCTAATAATTTATTGTTTATCCTGCTGCTGCATCAGAAAAATTTAAGTAAAAATTATTGGCTGGCTCTGAAACGTCTAAATTCCAACATGTATTTTACAATAATTTTCCACTAAGATAAATGACAGCTAAAAATCTCACTGACCATTTGACAAGATGTTTGACAAAAGTTTAAGAAATTAGTAAATGACTTGTTTCAAAGCCAGAAAGCCCTGTTCCCACAGACAAGGTACTTCAGTGATTTTCATCTTAACTCCTTGATTTCTTTGTAATAATGTTAAAGGACAGACGAAGATGTTGTGCAGCATCTGAGAGGATTTGAATGACTCAGCCCCTCCAGAAACTGATAAAACTGCAGCTTTTATTTGTAACTTTAAGCAATGACAACCATGTGACGCAGTTAAACTATTACAAGTCCTGTCTGCTTAGTTAGACAACAGCAAAGATAAAGCCCAGAAGTAATAACATCATTGCTTTTATTGATGTCAAGGTGAAGTCAATTTGAGAGTGAAGGATTAATAAACTTTCAATGTCGTGAAGTTTCACGAGTGAAAAATGAACGCAAAGAAGGCCTTTAGGTTGAGATCTATCCCCCCTTATCCCACTAGGCTTTTCTTTCCACACAAGAATAATTTCCCATTAACCAGAACAATAACAATTTTTAACATTAATTTGAATACTCCTTTACATTTCTAAAATAAAATTAGATAAAAGCATCACTGCCCATAGACCACTCCACTTCTTTATTTGAATATACAACACAGCGATAATCCTTTATTGAAACTTAAATTTAGCTCATTTTTCTCTTTACAAAATATAATATTTCTAGAGGTACTAAAATGTTTTTTTTAATCTACCTTATTTAAAAAGTTAAACACTCCACAATAAATGAATAAACTGCACTGGGACACGATGCTCAGTTATCTATATATATATATATATATA